GTCTCCTGCACGGGGAGCGCGACCGATGACTGGGCCCCCGCCGCCGCCGTCGTCGTCGGCGCCACGGACGGGGTCGACTGGAAGGGTGGCAGGGCGATGGACGACGCGCCCTCGGCCGGCACGGTGTTCGCCGTCGTCGAGGTCGTGACCGGTTCGGCTGACGAGGAGGTGATCTCTGGCGCTGCTGAAGTGGCCACCGCCGTCGTGCTGGAATCCGCGGCGGCGGCTGATGAGCTGGCTGCCGGGACGGATGCCACGTCGGACGTGCTGGATCCTGCGGCCGCCGAACTCGATGACGGGACGGCCAGCGCGCTCGACGTGCTCGAGAGCACCACTGATGCTAGAGACGTTGGCGATGAGCTGAGCAGGGGTATAGAGGTTGTCAGTGAAGGCGGGGCGACGAGGGCTATAATGCTTCAGTGTTAGTTAACGGATTTCTCCTGATCTGGCTCGGGTCCGGGGGGAGCTTACGTGTAGACGTGGTCGAGCTCACAGCCACGGGAATCGAAACCAGGGAAGTTGATGCAGCGGACGATGTCGCGGTGACGGCGGCGGAAGACGTGGCCGCTATCGAGGAGGCTTCGGCCTGACCAGACGACACGACCTGGGCTACGGAAGAGGCGATGGACGAGGCCTCGGCGGGCGGAACAGGGACTCCGAAAGGGGTTCCGCACGCAATCAGCTGCATCATCGTAGTGATCATCGTCGTGGTGGCGAGCTGGGTGACCGTCACCTGCCTAGTCCATCAAGTCAGCCTCCGATACTCACTCCGCCATCTCGAAGCCTCGACCTACTCGGTAGTGGTAGTCCCGACAGCCACGTCGGCGGGCTGGGTGACCGTAACCGTCGCCGTCATTGTCGGCACCGAGGTGTTGAATACCCCGCCCAGGCCGCCGCCGCCGACCGTGATGGTCTGCCGGACGGTCTCGGTGACGGTTTCCCTGCCGCCACGCCGTCCTCCCTGGCCATCGCCATCGCCATCGCCATCACCGCGGCCACCGCCACCACCACCGCCGCCGCCGCCGCCGCCCCTGAGCTGTCCCAACAGGTCTCCGAAAAACGAACGCTTCACTGGTTGATCATAGTACTTGTACGTGTCGGCCTACTCCCTCCCCCCCGTTAGTTGTCTATCCCTACTCAGATCGGGTATGGCGATACGCACCTGGACCGGCGCGAGCGTCGCTAGTGCCAATAACAGGACCTCGGCGTATAGCGCCCTCATCCTGAGAGGATCTTGAGGACGAGGAACCCCTCGTGAACGTGACAACTCCTCGCAGAATCGCGATTATAAAGATTGGGCGCAATCAGATAAAAACGATGGTAAGAAACAACACAACAGACCAGCCGTTACGAGGAAATAAAAAAATATACGGGCTCAACCCAGGCACGATTATGCGAGTAAAAAAAAAAGGAATGGAAGACAGAGAATAAAAGAATAGCTCTGTAGATCACCCGTTCACGGATTTCGAAAACGAGAGCATTCCGGAATTTGTTTCTCTTGAGTGGGCGGAATTATTGTACAAGAGCGACGAACACACAACGTTTCGCGCCAGGCTGAAGGGGGGGGGGAGCCGACTAAAGGAGTGATAGCACCACCTCGAAACACGACGGGCGCGAAGAATGAGGCGTGGAAGAGAAAAAAAGGGAGAGAGGGACGAGAAAAGACGAGGAGGAATTGAAACTCGTGGATGGGGGGAGAGAGGCTTGTCGCCATCTAACCCCCAGGGCAAGAGACGAATCTGGTCTGGAGATGGTTTCGACCGGGGGTCGTTCGCCTTGGTGTCGCGGCGTGGTAGGTAACTAACTAACGTAGATAGCTATTATTGAGCCGGTCGGTAAACTAACTGCCTGCCCTAACCCAGCCATCCTGCCATGGCGGCGGCACCGGTGCAAACTGGCCGGCCTCGTCGAGACCAAGTCGCATGATACCGGTGACTGATGGGGAGGAGACATGGACGAAGGCGGGTGCGCTGGTGGGATTGGGCCCAGAGTGCGCGTGTGCGACTCGAGACTGAGTGAGGTCCGGAGTGGTGATGGTTGCCCGTGGGAGAATGGGAACGGGGGGGCGTCAGCATTGAGACCAGCAAGGGTTGAGACAGTACCGTGACAAGGGGTGTTTCGACCCCCCCAGCAGCAGGTCCATTATCAGGCCATCGCAAGAAACTAGATAAAACCTTGTGGTATAGTTACCTAGTCGGCGCTTCTGTTCTTTTCTCGATACTGCGATGGGATTGTCGAAGGATGCTTCTGGGGACATTACGGATAGTTATCATGATGTTGTTGTGGAAGGAGGACGAGCATCTCGTTTTTCTCATCGACCTATTTTACTTGTACGTGCTCCGTACCTATCTTGGAGTCGCTTACTGGGCCTCGACAATGGCTGTATCACCCACCAATTCATAGATGCGCGTCACGGTGCTTTTGCGATGCCGGTGCTCAAACGATGGACAATATGCCTTTAATTGTGTCGAATGACATTGCGCGTCACCTTCGTAAGCGCTTCGCATTGCAGACTCGGCAGGTGAACAAAATGAATTTCAAGTATTAAGGCTCGAGTACTACTATAGTACATAGAGAGAGATGGAGACGGATGAAATCAAACGGATCATCGCACAAGCTTGGCAGGGGACGAATCCCTGCAAGGCGATTACATAACCGTGTCGACGTTCAATTCAACCACTTACCCCAGCCTGCAGAAAGCGTGATTCCGAACATGAGCCGTGTCTGTCCTCCTATAACGACCGTTTCCCACGTACAAGCTTCCCATCTCTCATTTCCTATGACATGCGAGCAATGTCATAGCCGGTGTGGTGATTCCTTGCCGCGGTGCATTCGGACTTGACAATGTCTTCCATGAACTGGAGAACCTCGATAAGGTTCCAGTGTCCCTTGTCCGGGCGGTGGCGTGTCCTCTTGGACGCCAAATAACTCGCAAGCCCGGATTTCGCGGCCTGCCTGCTCAGGTAACCGGCGTCCGGCACTCGGAGGTGGAAGGTCGCGGTCTGAATCTGCCCCTCGATCCATTCCCAGAATGGCCCGACGGGCTCGCAGAAGGGAGCGCTGCCGCGGTGGGCGAACGCCGGGATGTTGGGGTGGGCGCGGAATGTCTCCACCATTTCCCTGGGACTCGCCAGGACCGCGATGGCCGGGGGCACCGGCCAGATCATCTCCTCTAAAAGCAATATCTCCAGCGACCTGTACACGCTGCGGCGCCAGCCCCCGTCGTCCACGTGGTCGCTTCGCCGGCAGCGGACCCCATCCTGCCTGGGCTTTCCGCACAGATGATCGCCGAGTGTTTGTTTAATATTCTCCATGATGACTTTGAACAGCTTGTTGCGTACGGTGCAGACATCGACTAGAGGTGGACAGGTGAAAAAAGGTCAGTCATCTCGCTACGCAGGGCTCTTGCTTGGTCGGTCTCGGGCCACTTACGTTTGGCGCATGGCGTCTGGGGGGCAACGCGGGACCCTTGGGTGAAGGCCAGGTGGTCGGTCGGGTCCTTGAGATCCCAGTCGATGTCCTGGCCGCAGTGCATGGTAATCTGCAGCACCGTGTAGGCGTACATTGGCTCGTGGCCGAGGACCCAGTAGATCCAGAGCAGCGACTCCAGATCCTCGGTTGATTCTTCCATGAAACTGCGGTCGAGCCAGTAGGGCTCCATGTCGCGCATCCACTGGACAGACCAAGGCTGGAAAAGATGCACGAGGTCGTACTTTTCGGCGAGGACGGTCAGGTTGAGGAGCGCGTCAAGGTCCATGTATGTATCTTGCGGCGGGAGGGGGTAGCGTCCATAGAGGATGTGGATGATGGTCCGCATAGCTTCCGGGTCGTCGTCGGGGAGGTGGGCGGTCCATCCCGTGGGGTCATCCTCCGGTGGGAAGACCTCTTCTCTAGGACTATAGAAAGTGAACCCGAGGGCTGGGGAGGCCCTGCCTAGGATGGCCGAGTTGACGCGGAAACATATCCGGTCCTTTCTTATGTTCTGTGCCTCATTATCACAGTCATGGGCGGTGCACTTCGGTGCTCCCACGATGAGGTTTATGTCGGCATTAGCGTCGATCTCTTCCATCACCGGTCGGACCTTGGGATGCGAGCACCTCGTAAACGCCTCCGAGGTTGGTCTCGGCGGCGCACCCTCATCATGGGCCAAGTCATCACTATCGGTAGTGGAGGACATCGTATCACAGGCGTCTTGCTTTTTCCTTGCTTATACGCAAAAGGAGACGAGTCGAAAGAGCTAAGCTAGATGGTTGAAGTATGGTCTGCCGTGACCTTTGGCGGTGATGATGGTTTATATAGAGAGAGGATGAATGCTACCGCTTTTCCATGCCCGGTCAAGCCAGACAGCCCCACGTCAATAGAAGAAGGCATTGTCGTGGCTACAATGCATCAGTGCGTTTATGGGGGTTGGATTGTAATGGTTAGCACGTATTTATCCATTCACTGCGAGGGGAGAAGGCTGGAAACGTATGGGTGGCCTCCGTTCGGCCTGGATATGGCCACTGCAGACGGAGTCGGGCCAATTCGCAGCACTAAATCTGTACATATTGAAGGTCTCTTACACAGCTACAATGCCTCGAGCAGAAGTCAATACAGGCAAGATTAGGATGCACCAAACAGCCAATGAAGGCGGGACAAGACAACCGGGTATGGTGATGGTAGAGCTAGGCTTCTTGTTTGCTTGCTGAGAAATGTAACAATCTACAGTTAGCGTCATCCACCTACTTACCTCCCAGGTAGGTCAGTAGGTAATGCGCCGGTGTCGACTCATTGCCATGGGACAGAATTCGGCCATGAATGAAGCCGTATACGGTCTTCGGCTAAACCCACCCCGATTAGGCAACCAAACAATCAGACAATAAGAGAATGAGGCAATGAGACAATCGAACAATTAAGCATGCTATCTACTACTACTGGGTTCGCAAAATGGGAATCCACCGACGGTGAGCTGAAAGCAGAGCATGTCATGGAAGGGGAAAAAAGAAAAAAAAAAGAAACTCAGGTCTCCCTGGGAATCGAACCCAGATTAGCGGAATCAGAACCCGCTGTGATAACCATTACACTAGGAAACCGGATACGAGATGAATGACACAGCCCTAATTTTGGCTCATGATGCTAATGTCTACAGGGGTGTGATGCAACATGCGCAATTGGTGGGGTCTATTTTCTTCCATTGTCCAACAATACCTAAACCCATTACCTACCCAAGCTACTATCTAGATAATGCATCCCGCCGATCAGAGAGCATCCCCCGCCTGCGCCAGGTTCTCAATAGCAGCGAGCCCGTAGAGGGCAATGTCGTTCGTGGAGATCCACGCCGCCTCGTCCACGGGCGCCAGCACCTCACTGCCATCCAGCCGCACGCTCTGCCAGGGCGCCGTCGGCGCGAAGCCGTCCGTGCTCAGGAACTCCTTCCACGCCCTCTTCGCCAGCGTCGCGTTGTCCATCCTCTTGGCCGCGTAGGCCGTCAGCCGCGAGTGGCCCTGCTTGAGGTTCAGGCTCCCGAACGACTGCCCGTACCGCGCCTTCTGCTCCGCCGAGCCCGCGCCGTAGTAGTAGCAGAGGTCGAGGTACGCGCGGTCAAAGGCCTCGGGCACGTCGTCGCCCATGTAGTGGATGACCTGGGCCACGATCTCGGGCAGTCCGAAGCTCGCGCCGAGCGACCCCACGGCGACCGAGCCCTTGTTGTCCGGGTCGGTGCCCGGCGGCTTGACCGCGCCCGTCTTGGTGTTGTACAGCCCCACGCCCGTGACGAAGCCGTTCTTGAGCGACGCGATGCCGTTCATCGTCGCGTTGAGCTTCGATCGGGCCTCCTTCCAGCGCGGGCCGCGGCGCTCCCACTCGAGCAGCCAGATCGACGCGAGCCCGGAGAAGTCGATGCCGAGGTCGATGTCGACGGCCGTCGGGTCGGGGACGTACGTGCCGTTGTCGCCGCGGACCTTGCGCCGCGGGTCGACCGTCAGGAACGTCTGCTCCGCATCCATGAGCTCGTGGAGCAGGTCGCCGATGCGCTCGTCGCCGCCCGAGATGTAGTAGAAGATCTGCCTGTAGATCGGCGTCGATACCCTGATCTGCTTCGCGCTGTCACCCCAGTGCTGCACGCCGTGTCGAGTTCCGAATCCGCTGTACGGCCCCAGGTGGTAGACGTCGACCTCGCTGGTGTGTCGGGCCTGTGCCTCGACGAACCGGTAGACGTCCGCACGCCCCGTGCGGAGGAAGTAATTCCAGAAGAAGAGGTCGGGCGACAATTCCGAGTTGTCCCATGCGTATCCGCCAATGTCATAGCGCCAGGTGTGGCGGTCCCCGTCGTATGTGTGCATGAAATCGCCGTAGTCCCAGAAGCCGTACCATTTACGCTGCTCGACCTGTCCCTGGTAGAACTTGTTCAGGAAGTCCAAGTGTGTCTCGATTTCCTGCGCAGCCGCGCTGCTCGGTTTACTCGGCAGATCCCAATACGTTCCGGCCGCCTCGGTTTCCTTGATGTACTCCGGCTGAGGGACCAACACGGGAGGCTGGTTGATGAATTCGGTCAGTGCCGCGAGTTCATCCGATGATGGCGTGCTGTCAAAGGGTCGGATATAGATCTCGTTAGTCCTTCCGATACCATGCGGGGTATTGTATCCGTCTTCGTAGTCTTCGTATGTGATCTCCAGGGCATCAAGCTGTTTCTCGTATGTGTCCTGGCCGAGGCCATCATGGTACGGGCGGAGGTCCATGGGCTCGCCAGCTGGACTATACAGCCATATCGTAATCTGGCCCACGTCGGTAGCGGCATTTGACACGTCTATACTTGTAGGATATCGCTTCCAGAAGTCGCGAAGTCCGACGGCCAAACCGCCTTTGGTAGCACCTCCGAGATAGGCCAGGCCGCCAGCCCGAGTCCCGCCGGGGATCTTCACCCAGCTCTGGCCAGCCTTGGTTCGCTTCTTCAAGGTGAATCCGTCGGGTGACAGTTGCGTCAGCGTATAATCATTCCAGGCCGGGATCCATTGCAATCTCGAGCTGACCCTCGTGTCCCAAGTGGTGGCATCTGGTGTCTTCTTGCCCTCGAACTGAGCCTTGCGAACAGTTTCGCCAGGGTCTCTGCGCAAACCCGTGATTCCCATTACGGCCTCATTCAGGAAACCGCCGTCGACGCCCGCGATTCTGACATGACGATTGTATAGCTCCTCGCCAGCCAGCGGGACATCGAAACGAAGGCCGATTCCGGTGATAAAGTCCTTATCCGCCGCCCCGTCGAAGAGCAGCGTATGCACCACTCTGATCGTGTCCGAGTCGGCGTATAGATAGAATCGTACCGTAAAGGGGATCCACGGATCGTGCCCCGCCCCAGACCTTCCGCCGACGCGATGATCACCTTGGATCGTGACTAGCGTTCGCACCGAACTGTCCTTGTCCACCGTTGTCGTCTTGATCTTCGATTCGAGCTGGTAGTACTTGATATTACTGTTCGCCGAGCCGGTGTCTGCAACTCCCGACTGAGATTGCAAGACGAGTTTGCCATTCTTCCCCACCACCTTGCCGCTAGATGTGCTCAAGGCGCTGAGGAGCACATTCCCTGATTTTGGAAACGAAGCCTTGAGTTTTCCCGTGTCGACAGTGATCTCGTTGCGCCCGTTATTTACTTTTGTGGCTCGCTTGGCCATTCGGCGGGCGCCCTTCGAGGCCGTGACAGTATAGCCGTCGGGTACCGATTCGGAGCTGGAGATGGCGTGTCCCGTCCATTTGATAGAGCCGTCGGCCCAGTAAGACGTTACCCACGACTGAAGAGCCACGTCCTTGCCGTCGTCGCCAACGGCCGAGAAGGCAACCTTGTCACCCGCATGCTTGCCTTTCGGCCAGGGCAACCCAAAGGTGGTACCGAGATTCAGGGCCGGCTTTCCCTCGAGCCACTTCACCTTCACCGCATCCGTAGAGTCGCCTGTGGGTGCTGAAAGGGCACGGCCGGCGACGGAAGCCAGGCAGAGCACCGAGTAGGTCAACGCACCGTGATGCATCTTGATTCTCAGTCACCACCACCGTGAAAGGACTGCCGATGATCGACTCATACGGCAAGTGATACCGCATGAAAGAGCGGTTCACCTATATACCTATTGCCATCACGTCGGTTGGGACAGAGAAGACGCGAGTTGAGGTCGATCAATGACAACATTCAATACACAATTCATTCTCAACTCGGACTTCATTGCGCCGAGGCTGGGTCCGGGGAAAGGGGGAAGACAGGGCATCGGCATGATCGCGCGCTTGCGCAATGACCCCAGCTAGGCCTCGGTCTTCACGAGTCCACGAATGGTGACGCGATAACTTTTCATAAGTTCCTGCCCACGTGCCTAGTTCCTTGCAGAGTCGTATGCATTATGGGGAACTATACCCATATCGATCGAAAAACCTGTGGGGTATGCGGGGGTTCAACAGCATCATGACAAGCCTGTATGACCGAGAGCCGAGTATTGGAGATTTCCCCACGGGGGAAGGGAGCCTAGAATCTGGGGTTGAGCTTGGCCGATGAGCCTTTCACCCGGAACAAGAAGCAGCATAATGCGGTAGATGAAGCTTGTTCCTAATAACCTATGACTCCTTCGTATTATCCTTGGACAAATTTCACGTAGACCCGGCCGGATGGCTGACTAAGTCAAGTAAAAGTCCATTCCCAAGCAATACATCGTTGGTAAGTATGTTAACAACACATCGAGTTAAAGCAGTGTATGGTAGTAGTCATAATCCATCCACCCCGACGTCCAGACCCATGTTCCCTTTACAGCATTGTGTGCGAGCCCCCAGCAATCGAGTAAATCCTTTGCATCATCCCATTCGTAACTCATGCCCCGACTTCCGTTTCCCGGCCGGTGTATGTCTGAAGCTGACTGAAGACATCTCAATATATTCTTCGGAATAAGAGGGCATTCGGCGCCATTGGCACAAACGGGGCTGCCGCAACCATCGGCATCATGGGGTAGGTAGGCTGCACGAAGACGGGCGGTGGAGGTGGTGGCGGAGCGACGACCACAGCGGGTGCTGGGTGCACTATAGTGGTTGGTATGAAAGGCTGGACGAAGAACATGATGCTTGAGCTTCTTCCGTTCTGGTGCGTTGAGTGAGGGGATGGATTTGGATGGCGCAAAGATGAGGCGCAGGCCGGATATGATGAAGGCGGTCAAAGGCAGTAGGCAGCTTAGACTGGAGAGTTGGTACGGGTCTGAAAGCGAGGGAGAGATGCTTCTGTAGATCGGGCTGAACGCAGTTATATAATAGCAAGTCGAGACGAGCGGTGAATCATATCCCGTATTGATGTGATGAATACTGTTTGTTTTGTTGCGCAGTCCCCGCGTCTACTATCTGTTTGTGTTCCCGCCCAGCCAGGTAGAGTCGATAATCGACATGACGGGATCGTGACATTTGTTTTGGCTTCTTCCAACCATGCCACTGTAACGTGGATAAAATGGCAAAAGTGGTGCAGGTTCGCCCAGTTGGTCCTATTAGCAGCTAAGAGTTACCGCCAATTCCTACCTCCGTGTCGCAACACAAACCGGTGGAGGCGGGGACTATCGGGTCGAGCTGTGTCACACGGCAATCCTCGGTGCCTAGCGGTGAGGTGTGCAAGGTAGAACGTGGTAAACCTACGAAGCAAACAACCCACCCGGGAGGTTCATTGGTAGTATAACCACCGTCGAGACCGCGTGGCCAACTTCGTGGCACCAAATGAGGAGTCTCGGCATCACAGATAGGACAACTGTTCCTACGACCACATTAGTCTCCAGATTCAGGGGCCAAAAATCATTGAAAGCGGTCGCAGTCTCGCGCCTTTCAATCGTTGGGGGGTAGACGGAGGCAGGTAACCTACCTAGACCAATCCCAACACATTGAGGTTCGAGATAAAACATGGTTTGCTACATCAGACTCATATAACTAACGGGGTTAGCGTATGGTGGACAGGGAACTGCCTGGTTTGTTCCTATAACATCTCGTATTGAACAGCTGTTCGCTTCCGATTGTATACATGTTCGTGGGTTGCATCTGCTTCCGATTCGGTACTTCAAACGGCGGTCTACGCCTACTACTGTGCAGATCCACC